GGGGGTTCCTGGAAAAATCCATGGGGGGTCCCTGACGATGTCAACAATTTGTACGAAATGAGGATAAAATCGTTTTTTTTCTTTGGAAGTCACTTTTTGAGGCGAAAATCCCTAGCAAATCGGAAGAATTTTCTCGGCCAAAAAAAAAATTTTTAGGGGTGGTGTCATCCGACACCTAGGAAAGACATTTTATTACTCTTAATATCGATCTAAAATGTAAAATAATTGCTACTAATTCGAAAATCGAAAATAAGAAATTCAATCCTCACGTGACGATCTATGATGGTATGATAATATTAACTCAGTGGAAATGTCAAATCCAAATATTGCGATGTTTATTGCTTTGCAAATGTTTCTATCAGCAACAAATTTCGCTTCTATCTGCTTCTGTGTTTGTAACACATACGCATACCCACAGAATGTACACAGTGTCAAACATAAAAAATATTTGCATAAAAAATTGAATGAGGTCCGTGTTTTTTATTAATCAAATGTCAGCCTATAAGTAGTCGTCTTTGTTTGCTATGAGTAATGACCAAATTTAAAAAAATTAGACACAAAATATAGCAATACTCGTTTCTATCTCATCAAAATTGGATAAAATTTCTTGGATAAAGTTGTTGTAGTGGTCCAGTTCACTTTGAATGGCGCTGCATTCGCTTCATATCACGTATGTATTTGTGCAAATGTCAAACACAAGTCATTCCGTGTTGAGCATTAGTTTAGACTGGACGTATCGAACATCGTTTAGTTGTTTCATCAGAATTTACCGCTAAACATTAAAATCAACTTTTCAAAATTCACTGTTTATTTTCACGTTCTACGAGAAATTGAAGAAAATGGCATCAAAATCATCGAAAAAGTCAAAGGGACCTGCGTTGAACGAAGTACGTGAGGTTATGAAGCGGCTGAAGACCAAAAAGTTTGATAAAGATACAGTGCATACAATTGCCAAAGAGCTCGGCTACAAAATGTTCAACAAAAAAATTTATTACATGTTGCGTGGCAAAATGCTTGCTTCAATTAGGGCAGGGGACAAAGAATAATATCGGTAAGTACCAATTTCTTAACATTATTTTCCAACATTTTGAGAGCAAGTGGTGAAATTCACACTTTTGCGATGCAAAATCACCGTGTGCGAACAATAGACATCATTCAGTGATCGCAACGACTAACGGGAAGACGATTTTTTTAAAGAAAACAAAGCACACAGTCTGTTCATTGTTCACGACAGTGACTGATGTCTGTGTGTTGATGATTTTGCGCGAATTTTTTTCAAACGATACACACTGTTTCCATCCGTGGTATATTATTTACCGTATTTTGTTCTCCCTTTCAGAGTAAACATGCACTACTCGATATCAACAACGACCGCCTTTTGTATACGGACACAGCCAATCTGAAAGCATCAAACAACAACAAAACCAACGATTTACGATACAAAGAAAGAAAGAAAGAAGAAGAAGAAACGAATATCATCCCGTTGCATAAAGACAACAACACAGCCAGTTAGCAGCACCATTCCAACAACAATTCTCTTTATGGTCAACATAAAAAAATATTTGTTTGTTAGAACATTCGAACCGCTTTGAACCGATTTCTTCGTAAATTTTCTTAAAAACATACATCGTATACATCACGAAATTAAATGAAAAAATTCAAAAAAAAAATCCATCTAGTTTGTAGGGATCATTGTGATCGTGAAGAAACTTGTCAATTTGACATTGAAATTAAAATAAAATCATTGTGAGAAAATCCAAAACATTGGCCTTTGATTTGGAATGAAAAGGGGTCCATGTGATCTTCTTTGTGGCTTTATGTTTGTGTGTTTTGTTGTCGTTTTTCGGCCAGTTTTTAGAGAGAATAATTTGGATTCATTTGGTAATACAGGTAGCAGCTTGATGAACTTTGCGTTTGAATTGTTTAATTCTAGCAATTATGAGTCCTCAAAGAAAGAAATGTGTGAGAATAAAAGACGGTTTGTTTTGGCTCTTTATTTATTTCAATTTATTTTAATTTATTTTATGTTCAACATTCGATTGCTTTCTCTCTCTCTCTGGAGTTATGTTAATGTACTTGATGTTGATCAAAGCAGTGTTTAAAGAAAAGTTCTAGAATCTAGATATGGTTGAAGGTATGGTTGTGATAGCTTAATAATTTCAATGTTTATAATGTGATCGTATGAGGGGACATAGTTTCTAGCTAAAAACGAAACCGTATTGCTATCAATGGTTGAATTTTAGTGTCGATTGAAATGTGCTTTCATATGATATTTCCGTGTAAAACGCTTCATACAAATCTTGCATTGAAACGGTCTTTCACCGCTGTGCACAGGCATATGTTTTATCAAATCGGCTTGATCCACAGTGACAAACTTCTTGCAGATGTGGCATTCAAATCGACGCACTTTGCACACTTTTTCGTGGGCATATTTTTCATCCTTCTGGTAGAAACCGCTGAAACAGATCCGGCAATGGAATGGAAATTCATTGATATGAGTCGCCTTATGCACCTTCAGGGACTGCATTTTTGTGAATTCTCTGCCGCAGCTACCACATCGATATGGTTTTTCGCCTGTGTGAATACGTGTGTGTTTATTGAGGTCTGCCCTGTAATTGCTGGAATATTCACAAAGTTGACACTTGAAGCGCTTTTTCGGCACCAACTGATTTCGAAGCGCTTTTCCGCCACCGTTTCTTGGATATTTTGTTGTTCTTTTGTTCTTGGATATTTTGTTGTTTCGATTTTTTGATGCGTCACGAATAGTTTTGGCACCATCAGCGTTTCCTTTATTTGCCATTATGATGGAGTGTTTGCTCGTTGTGTTCACATTGCGATTCTCATTAAATTCAATCATCGGAATGCCATCGTTCATATCCGCCATCATAGTTTCTTTGTTGGCACCATTACCGCCTTCACTTTCTGAATGATCATTCTGGTAATTAAAACCGGGCGATTCCGTCTCTAACATTTCGGTGTAGCTACTATCGGTATGTTGAACCAAATCGTTCCATTCAGATGTTTCGTCATTGTTATCGCACTTAATATCAAGGGCACCTTCCGTTTTGATTTGATCATCTTCATCGCTTGAGTCGATGACTTCGACTGGGTCAGTCATGCCAGGACATTTAGTAAGAAATGAGCTCATAATCGGTGACCCATCATCTGCACCAATGTTGACTCGGTCTTCCAAGTTTGAATTCATTTCGAATTGGTCGTAAGTAAGGTTGATCCTGGAAACAATTAACTTTAATAAATTATTTGGATGAATTTAATTGATTACTCCACTCACCGATCACTTGAAACACTCAAAAAATATTGCTTAAACTCAGAATTGAGCGAAAAACCATTGCGTTTGAAAGTCGTTTTAATTTTTCCCAACGAAATTGTTGCCTGGCGATCGAATGCAGCAAGCATTTTGTGCATTTCGTCTTTCCATTCCATTGTTGGTCTTAATTAGAAAATAGATGAATAGATAAGGTAATTTGATTAATTATTATTGGAATCCATTGTGTTTATAGTGTCGTCGAAAGAACGTTCATTTTACTATATGAGCGAATTCTGAACAATGAACTGATTTTGATTACAATATTTTAGATTCCAAGAATTAATGAAAAACGTGTTTTGTGTAAGGCGACCTGTGACGAGAAGGGTACATTATGTACATTATTTTAATGATGACATGTGCTATGGCAACATGGTAAATGTTCTAGAATAAATAAAACACACACATGTACTTCATGGAATATCTTACCAAACTCATGAGCATTTACTTAATTGTGGCTGAAAGTTCTATAAATTATGGATTTTTCTATTGTCAATATACATACCTTAATCTTTTTGGTAAAAACGTGAATTAGCTTTTGCAATTAGGTGCAAATTGTCACGATTTATACGATTAAGACTTAATGGTAGCCTATCCAATTTATTCTGTGTTGTTTACCAAAGCGGAACGCTTTCTGGATAATTCGTAAATAATGAAACTGAGAAATATTTTAATTACTTTTTGGTTATTCAGTATCGTATAAGATTAAGAAAATCAGTGAAAATGGTGCTTTGCGTGAGACGACATATAATGGATGATGCAATATTGGCGATATAAACATAAACTGTCAAAATAAATGTTTGCCATTTGTTTTGCGACGAATTCAATTTGCTGCTGTTGTTTTTGAATATCTTTCGCCGTAATCGGACGTTAAATTCAAATTGAGACAATAATTGTATTCCAATTTACACATATTTCCATTCGAAATAAAATAATCGTCCAATACTGAAAATTAATGAAGTATTTGTTTGCTTTCATGATGAATTACAATTCAATTTCTGAGTTCTTGATTTTTTTAATTAATAATTATTAAAAACAGTTTTGAAAGAATGTTAAGAGAGATAGGAATATGTCGATCGACATGATAAATTTATTTAACAGTAATGAGTGAAATGGA